GTGAGCACGAATGGTTGTACTTCAGTCATGGGTGTTTATATTTTTAATATATATGTATATATATATATATATATATATATATATATATATATATATATCGTGTGTCAACTATGTGGTATCCAAGACACAAGCCTCGTAGCTTATCATGAAACTAGATGGTGCTGTATGTTAATGTCCTAACATATTTATTATTGACCAAACTTAGCTTAAGGTTTCATCATTTACTGAGAGAGTTATGAACTATCAATAGTTTTGAAGGTAACCAAGCCGAGTGGACTCAGTGGTCCAGTGAAATTCGATCATTATTATTGTTGAAAATTTAACAAAAATATAATGTACATACATTGATATTTCATAAAAATAAATAAATAATATAAAGAAAACTCTTTCCAAATTTTTTTTATTAATTAAACTAAAGCTAGTCAATAAACTAAACAAAAACAGACAATTGCTTGACAAACAGAGAAGAAAAAGGTACTGAACCGTTTTGTTTTGGCCTATTTATATATAGATTTTGCCAATAGTTTTCTTTTCAAAATAAATTTTTTTATCAACATTAAAGAGAAGAGGTACTCATTACACTGTACTTTGTGTATTATTATAAACCAACTTACGTGATTATTTTATTGATTGGTAGGTGTTTTTGTAAGGCTGGTCATATTTATTTTTTTTATTTTTTATTTTTTTTTTTTTTTATTTATTTATTTATGTACCATAAAATATACGTTATACAAAATAAAATAACAAAATGTTGACAAAGGATAACTTATCTCTTTAAGAGATTTCTTCCAGAAACCCTTCAGAAGTGAGAAAATAAGTTAATATAGTGCGGTGTAGGTACAGTACAGCATTGAATGGAATTGTCTTATTATTAAAATACATATATTAACTAAATATTATGATTATACAAATATATATATATATATTCACATACATATATATATACATACATATATACATACATACATACAAACAAACATATATACTTACATATAAATACATACTAATCTACAATAATTTATGTCTGATATTTATTGCTCCGCTCCATTTCGTTCCTAGTTACGTTTTAGCGTTTAGCTCACAGATGAAATATTTTCCCGCAGAAAAAGGTATCCAGTATGTTGACTCGGATACCCAGCTATCATCGTACCAAATTCCATCAAAATCTGTCCAGTGATTTTTTATGATGGGGTCATAGACAGACAGACAAAAATTCTAAAAACGATACATTCCGCCTTTGTGTTTACCTTTAAATAGATTTTCAATTACTAACCTATATTTCACTTGTATATGTATGGAAGTCATAAATGTATATAATTTTAAAACTGCTGGTAGACCTTAATAAAATTTAAAAAAAAGATAACGCTACATTTATTTTGAATTTGATACAGTCTTTTAGTTAAAAAATCTAGTCATATTAGTAGTAAGGTTTTACCCGCGACTCTATAAATAGAATAGGTATTATATGCGGCTCCGCCCGCATAGTGCATTAATCATCAACATATCATATACTAAAACCTTCTCCGAAACACGCTGCATCTTATGGTATGAGTATTATTCCGATCGGTTCAGTAGTTATCGTACTATAACCGAACATAAAAATCGGCTCTCCATTTATTAGTATAGATTAATCCGTTCCTTAATGTTAATCATATAATAAATCATATGTATACATATATAAAAATCGATGTGTCATGTATGTTCCCAATGGACTTCAAAATGGCTGGAGCGATTTTGATGAAATTTTCAACAGGGGGTAATCCTGTGAAGTTTGATAGCGATCGGAAGTTTAAACGCAGATGATGTCGCGGGTTATAAAATACTAAACGCTAGTAGGTTATAAAACGCAAAAACAAGATCGGACGTTCGAGATTAGCGCGTCCAAACAAACACAAGCAATCATTTCAGCTTTATATATTATGAAGAGTAGAATAAAGATTATCTATTAAATTAGAGGTGGATGAATGTTTGTCTATTTATATATTTGTATGTGTCACATGGGCTACTTTTTATCGCGGGAGATTATCTCATTCGCACGGGAAAACACGTTATAATATAACCCAAAAAAAATGTATTCAGAATTACTTGAAATTTTGTATTTATGATCTTCAATACAATTGAACAAATACGTGTTTCAGTATTTTTCGAAATTCATCCTATTAAGAGGATGGAAGTTTGTATGAAACCTACCTTTTTAGAGTTTTTTTGTAGATTTAGCGCGAGCCAAGCCGCGGGTTCTGCTAGTAAGAAATAAATAGGTAGTATTGCTTTTAAAGAAAACCTACTTTAACATATTCATGTCATATATTTGTATATACCAAAATTTTCCAATATTCAATTAATTTTTACTAAGTGTAAGCGATACGTTCGCTGGTAAAAAGTAAAACTTTTTGCAGAATCTCTTTCAATTTGTTTTTCTAATATCGGGATGGTCTGAGAAATGGTTTAGAGATAGCGCCGTCACATCCCGACTCTAAGTAATATATCATCTGAGCTTAGCAACAGTCTTAGGAAAAGTTCTGATAAGCTTTTACCATTTACACTGATGATGGGTTTTAATAAATTATTATAAAAGTACCTGTGTCTTAAAGTTGATTAATTTTGTTAAATTATATAATCGAAATGCAAAATAAACTTGAATATTTGTAAGAAGACATTATATTATAAGCAAGAGAAAATATACACTCATTTATAGGATTTATATTATGGCCATTTTAAATATTTGCCACAAACGGAACTCGAATTGTGACTTAGGGCATAAAGTCAGGTAAATCATCTTCTACACGAAATACGTACGTTTTTTATAATTTTCACAAAATAAATATTTTACGAAAGCTCGATTATTTCCTTATATCAAAATAAAGGTATGAACATTCGCCGGTGGGAACTCCAATGTCTGTTGACTGTAGCCAAATAACTTCTAAAGCAAATATTTGCCTCTATACCAGAGTAATATGCCAACTTGGTTACATTTGGTTCGTAAACCACAACGCATTTGATACTTTTATCGTTATAATTATAAATTTTAATTTTAAAAGCCCCCTACGCAAATTAATAGTCATTTAACGATTACACTGGCACGCGTGAAGCACTTAATCGTTTTACTTCACTTACATCATTTTGGAAAAGAGCTGATACTCTTACCCTGCTGGACCGATATTAACCAAACATAGCTAGAACCACCGCAAGGAAACTGGCTTTCAAATGAAAAAACCGAATCAAAATCGGTCCATCCGTTTGATAGCTACGATGACACAGACAGACACACACACACACACACACTTATCCTCCTCCTCCTCCCAATATCACTATTGTTCTTATCCAACCGCTTTCTTCTTCCCACGTTGATTTCACAAAAATAGTAAAATTTTTGTGCCTCGGATAACACAAAAACGCGTAATGACAGTTGAATAAAGATGGCGTGGTGGGATGACGCTAAATAATTTATTTAAAAAGGGAATAGTTTAAACTATTTCTTTTAAGAGTAAAAGCTATAAAAAAAGTAGTCATGAGGACTGCCGGCAGAAGTGAGAACTTAAAACTATAAATAAACATAATACTTTCTTAGATTTACGCGAATATTTGACATTTTAAATAATTGTCAAGTCTGTAACAAGTTTATGTGTTTGAGACGTCTATAACCTTAGTATCTCCCGTGACCATGATTGCTGTAAGGCGTTCGAAACGCTTAACGGCGAACGAACCAAAAATCAAAATAAATCCGCGAGATAATCCGAAAAGATAATTTAAAATATAAACAAACAGTTATTATATTTGGATATTCAAATTAATTGTATGATCTTAAATTAAAATTTGTAAATTAAAACTGTTTAACATTTATTTGTTTTTGACATCTATTGGCACTCTGAGTGTTAGCGTTAACACGTCACGTATCCATGTCGATGATGACTTACATGAATTTACTCCCCATCCAAACCTGAATATAGAAGTTTTCGCTTTAATATAGCTTTAAAAGTGATTAGGACAGCATAAATCTGGCATGTTGCTGCATATAAATGTAATCATCTTCGGTCAAGACACTCGTATAAATATATGTACAAAATGAAAAATCTCAAAACGTATAAATAAATAATATATCTTAGCGCAAATACAAAGACAGTAACGAAACCTAACAGCCTATTCAAACATTTTATTTACGCCAGTGGAATATTCTTCGATATTTGTGAAACAGAAAATTGTTTGCTTTAGAAGCAAAATTACTATGTTGCTTACTTATCTATATAATATGTACTAAGCATTTCCTTTGATTTTCTCTATGATGCTTTTTTAAACCTAAGTACCTGGGCTACCGAGCTTCGCTTTCGGAGTTTTTGGCCTAAAGTACAATTTTCTTTTTTTAAACTAAAAACTTGAATAAATATTAAAAAAAAACCAAAAGTAAAAACTTTGTATGGGATCTTGCACCTTGGCCACTTGACCACGATGCTTACACCAGAGCGTGCAAATTACCGACCATATTTTGCGTGGAACAATGCAAAAGAAAACTGCATGAAAACTCGAAAACACGCGTTTTCTCAGTCATAAGACTAATCTAGATCGATTTATCGCCCCCAAAACCCGCCGCGTTCTAAATTTTATGAAAATCGTCGGAGCCGTTTCTGATATTCAGATTATATATATGTTTATGCAAGAATTGCTCGTTTAAAGATATAGGATAACTAGAAACTTGTGCCTTCAGCTCTTTTTAACGTCCCACTGCTGGGAACAGGCCTCCTTTCAATGCGAGAGCTCAGACCGTTGTCCTACACTAGCCAATTGAGGGTTGGTTGATTATTACGAAAAAATGCTAGGTTCTTTGACATACAGATTTCCTCACGATGTTTTCCTTCACCGAAAAGCAAGTGTTGAGAATTTGCACATGTAAATATCAGAAATGCAAGACCTGGGATTTGAACTCGTTTCACGTGGTTTCCCAATCGAGAACTTTTTGTACGAACTTAATTTTCTTCTAAAATTAATTGATCCTTTTTAATTTCCAGGTCCTTCGCATAAGTGGCAGGAGAAAAATAATAACGTGTAAGTAACTTGATTTTATTATTATATTTAATGTTATAACTATAAGTCACTTATATATGTATATGTATGTATATTGTATATATAGTATATACATACTTAGATTATTTAATCGATATTAAAATAATACCACACTTAAAAATATACGAGTACATAAAATTGCTTTGTAAAATTATCTTTCTTACACTTAATTACTATTGTACATCCAAATCGTCAGAAACCAAAGATCAAAATAATTCCGCAAAAAAAAACGAAAAAATAGTTTTATTTTAAAATATCAAATATTCGCGTAAGTCTAATAAAGTATTGCTAATATTCATCTTTCTTTTATGCAACAACTGAGCAATGTACGAGATTTGTATAGAGTAACCTATGGATATAGAGAGATTAAGATTCAAATGTAGAGCGAAATTAACATGTTTTATTCCAGTTTACCAAATTTTTCTCGTATGATATTAATATTACATAAATGATCACACATTGTAAATATATTTGAAAACCAAAATAGAATGTCGATATTTGTATATCGTTGTTTTTCCTTAAAATCCAGACCGTTTAAACTCATTTCCCTAATGCCAATAATAGTCGGTTCACTTCAGCTTGTCAGTTTTAATAAAACGAAAATGAATGCTCCATAATGTGAATTATAATAAATGTCTTCAATAGTTTCCATTCTGTTGATCTTATTATCTAGTATTTGACCGTGACTTTTGTCGTAATATATCGATAAATTATAAAATTATAACTGCAGATTAAATACGTTCTAATGAATAAGTAACTAGCTCTCTCTCTCTCTTTCTCCTTCTCTTTCTTTGTCTCGCTCCCCCCTCTCTTCCTCTCCCCCCCCCTCTCTCTCTCTTTCTCCTTCTCTTTCTTTGTCTCTCTCTCCCCTCTCTTCCTATCTTCCTCTCTCTCTCTCTATCTTTCTCGCTTTTATTTTCTATCCTTTTTCTTTTTATTAGCCTAATTCGAGTAAAGCCATAGCCAAGCTTAGTTCCCCACACAAATTTTCATCCTCATTTTCACCCCCTTAAGGGATGATTTCCGGAAGAAAAAGTATTTGTCCTTGTCCTTTCCAGGGTCGCAAACTATCTTCTTACCAAATTTCATCTAAATCGGTTCAGTAGATTCAAGGATTACCCCCTACAACGTCACAAACTCACAAACTTTATCTTGTTATAATAATATTATAGATTATACAGAATTATTCTTTGCCAAAAGATAAAGCATACGAGTAGAGCAAGGAACCTTGCTGACATCTTTTAACTGATAGTGTTCGTTTCGTGGAAATTAGGTCGAATGAGGCTGATATTTGTACAGTTTGCTATCTCTATATTTGACCTTTGGCAGCGGTTGATCTTACCTATTTATTATTTATTAAACGTACAATTATATAGTAAAAGTGCGTATCAAAATTTTCCCAATTCAGTAGAATCGAAACTTACATATCTAATCTTTTGTTTACCAACCCTTACTTAGATTTAGTTACTTAGAAACAAGAACATTTAACTAGGTTATGTAACTTAAAATGTGTAGATTGAAATTCTGAGAAGTAGCAAAATTAAAAGAATTTTTAAATTATCTGGAAACGTTAGACTTTAAATACTAAAAGTATTTCATTTACTATTTGGTATCTATTAGCAAAAGACAAAAACAAAGATACGTATAAGCGACGACACGTTTGGCTCAGCTTGTAGTAACGATACTTGCTACGCCAGCAGTCGCGGGTTCGAGTCCCGCTGCGGGCATTTATTTCTATGTTGAGCTAGATATTTATAATATGTTTTTAAAGTTTTATATGTGTAGTGTTTCAACTATTTGGTATCCATAACACAAGCCTCGAAGCCTACCATGGAACTGCTGGTGCCGCATATGAATGGCTGCTGCATGGTGCTGTGTATTAACGTCCCAACAACATATTTAAATATCTCAAATTAATACTGAAACAAAAAGTCCCTAACGTTTTCATAGCTGTTCTTTTACAGAAATATAAAATGTCTAAAAAATTACTTAAGTTCACGTACTCTTCGTACAAATGCGACATCCCAAGTGATAAACATGAAGCTAACGTAAACGTGCACTCTACGATATTGCTAGCACACAAATGTATATACCTATATACTTGCTAATGAATATTAGAACCTGAAGAAAAAAATAGAAGTTGCAAGCATATATGAAAAAAAAAACTAAAAAAATTAAAAAAGGAATGGTCTAGTGATATGCTGAGTATCAAATCATATGTTCCTGGGTTCGAATCCTGGGTCGAGTCAAAAGATTCATTGGGTTATTTTATCAAGAATATCTAAGATTAAGGAAGAAGTAAAACAGTCCCGTGTCACATTACCAACTTGCCTCTTTCACCTGCAATTCTGCCTACGCAAATAGGTCCATATCTATAAATAAAGTTGTTGACTAGAAAGGAATTTCAAATTCACTTCAATTTTTAATTATTCCATCATTTTTATGACTTTTAGGCCTTTGCCCCATTTCTAATTTATGTGAATATCCCATTATATATTCTCCAAATATCTGCTTTCTGAATTGTCGCTGAGTCTAAGCTATCTACTCGCTAGCTCTTTCTTGATAACTAACATCTTCAAACTCCAGCACTTTTTTGGCCATGAAATGTTTTTCATGTCTTCAGAGTACCGAACCATATATGGCCATATACCAACGCGGAACCCTATTTGAGCTTTTCTGGTACTAACTTTATTTGAAAATGCCTCAGACTATTAGACACTAGAAGCCACATCAGTTATATTGAACCGCGGTAATAACTTTTCCATTTAAAAAAGAATCAATTTTTGACGATTGTTGACTAAAAATGATTAATTTTGATTAATTGAAGATATTGCGTAATACAAACAAAAACGTAAAATCAAACATACACTCATATTAAGTACCACTTTTTTTAAAGTCAGTCCAAAAATAATTGATATAATTATTAAACTCATTTTATGAGTTACTAGCGCCTCACCCCTGCTTCGCTTGGATTCGTCCCTAGATACGTTTTGACGCTTAATATGGAATAGATAGACTAATATATACATATTATTATGAGTTTTATATCCCTTATATGAGAAATCCCCATACAAAATTCCACCCCCTCTTTCACCTCTTTAGGGATAATTTCCGGTATAAAAGCTATCTTCCTACTAAATTTCATCTAAATCGGTACAGCGGATAAAGCATTAAAAATTTAACCGACAGACAGACAAAGTTACTTTCCCATTTATAATATTAGTATGGATTTCAGTGGTTACATCATATTCCCAACAATTTTACAAAGATGTAATATAGACAAGCGAATTTCAAAATCAGAGCCTGTCTTTGAGTTATTCATTCCTAAACTATAGAATAGCCTTCATAAATCATTACTTATAAGGTTTTTGATATTGACATAAATTCAATAAGACTATTACTGAGGTGTACGCTTAAGAAAATATCCGATATCAACTGGAATGCGTAATATATTGGAAAACAGGGCAAGTGTCTTTTATCTTCCCACAAAGTGAAATTTATGAGGCCATACTTGTCATGGAAAGTGACTATCACACCGTCATTGAATTTTTTTTTTGGTAAAATGGATATGAAATTTTAACAAAATTTATGTCGTTGTAAATACTCGTACATCAATTTTTCCAACAATTTTTATGTGTACGCCCATTTTTTTTAAGAGCTTGTGAATTAAGTGAGTTGAGATTATATCGTTTAGCTCGTCAACTAGAAGAACAGGAAATTAAAAAACAATAATATAATAATATTACCTCAGATAAAGGAATATTTGTAGACAGAGTGATCTAGAACCAACGACCACTCGGGCTAAGTAGCCGTTGTCTAGAACTAATGAGAAAGAAAAACATGAAACCAAAAAATGATGTTTTAAAATAGTATACAAATGACAATTGATACTGATATGAATAGCCAATCTATGCATATAATAAAATTGTAACCAAGCCGAATCTGTACATTAAATATTTTTTGGAAAATCTTAATACTTTCTTAGATTTACGCGAATGTTTGACATTATTAAATAAAACTATCTTTTCGGATTATTTCGCGGATTTATTTTGATTTTTGGTTCCCGACGTTTCGAATGCTTTACAGCATCCATGGTCACGGGAGAGACTGAGGTGTTACATGTCTTGAATGTATAGTTGTTACAGACAGCCTACCCACAATTAACAAAATGAAAATTGCACCAATTACATTACAATATTTTTTAACTTTAAACATTTTTATAATTTTAATTATAATTGAATATGGAAAATTATTTATTTAATTTTGCTATTATTTTTATAATTATTACAATTTTAAAATATTAATTAGTAATCTATATTTAGTGTTGCCATTATTATATTTATAACCATAAAGAAAAATATAAAATATAGTATTAATTATTTAAGCCATATAATTGTTCAATGTGTAATTTAAAAAAGTTAAAATTAATTAAGGATTATAATTTTAATTTAGTTTGCTATTATTTAAAAACAACTTACTAAGCAACACTATTAATATATACTTTTACAAATTTTTATTTAATAATTGGAAAATCTTATTGAAATAGACATTATTGTCGATACAGAGGCAGATTCTATAATTTTTAGAATTTTTGTCTATCTATCCGTCTGTCTGTTACCGCATCACAGAAAAAATACTGGAGGGATTTTGATGAAATTTGGTTTGGTGGTAGCTGGTTATCCGGGTCAACATGTAAGATACCTTCTACCGCTGGAAAATATCTCATTTCTGAGAAAAAATATAAAAACTACATTGTAAGAGTATACCAATATGTAAAACCTAAGAATTTGCTTTTTGGTCACCTGAACGCGAGCGGAGCGCGGGCAATGTTAGTTTATTAAAATAAAGAAAAACATTAAATAAGCTAATGCTATGCTATCTCTTTCAGGCGGAAGAAAACTAATGCTTAAAAATTACAAAAACATATAGTATTATTTTTAATATTCATATTTCATTCCCAATAATTGTACGAGTATTTCAACTTATACTAATATCCTATTAATATTATAAATGCGAAAGTTTGTGAGGATGTACGGATGTATAGACGTATGGATGTTTGTTACTCTACGCAAAAACTACTGAATGGGTTTTAATGAAACTTTACAATAATATAGCTCATACATCAGAATAACACATAGGCTACTGTTTATCCCGCAAAAATTTACGGTTCCCGTGGGATACATTTGTTTTTGTTCTAGTATACATATAAAATTTCCGTTAGTATTTTAAGAAAATTAACGATCAGTATACGTCTTAATCCAGAATGTAGAATCAGTTTGACATTTATTTTGGCGGACTCCGTCTATATCATTCTTTAAACTAAGTATATTACTTATATTGTTATACTATGTAATTATTTACGAGACAGTTGGTAAATAAATTACGAGCTAATAACTTAGCCAGATGAAAAATGTTCAATAGCTTAACCATTAAGTGGTCACCTATTCAACTATGAGCCACAGGTATTATTGCTTGACCTAAACTATAGGTATACAATTAAGGTTCCAATGTAAATAAAAATCTATACTAATAGGTATAGTTAAGAGGTATAGTTTGTGAATTGTGAATTTATGACGTTGTAGGGGGTAATCTCTGGATCTACTGAACCGATTTAGATGAAATTTGATAACTAGATAGTTTGAGACCCTGGGAAGGACATAAGATACTTTTTATCCTAAAAATCATCCCTTAAGAGGGTGAAAATAGGGATGAAAGTTTGTATGGGAAATAAAGTAAATATGGGGAAAAAAGGTCGCTAGTGAAATAATATACGACAAAATAATATAGATAGTATGTTATTTTAAACTATTTAATGTGAAGAAAACTTTAATTTCATAAACAATTATTGTAGACATGTGCAATATTACAGTATAACAGGCGGTACATTCCATCTCAAGTAGGCTCAACACTAGATACGTATGAGGTAAACATTAAACATGCAAATATATCATCTTACTCCAAACATTTGCCTTGAAACGTCATATATGAATAACATGTACTTTAATAATATACTTCTTTTGTTATATTTTGAAGCCAGAGCGTAAAAAATCATATATAACTATACTGACTGACTCGCCTAATATATGGCTCTAGAAAAATTCTAAATGATGGGAAAGAGTTCCTTATGTAAGCTCTAGAAGTGATTTTTTAAAATATTGGTGTTGAAATAAAGAATTAACTATGCTACATCTGTCAAACCAGCTGTAGGTATTGTAGATTTTGACTTTGACCACTTGTCTTACGACGAAGGAAAACATCGTGAGGAAAACAGTATGTCTGAGAAAACCTAGCAGGTTTTCAAAAGACATGCGCAGATTAGATTATAGCCTGATCCCCCTTTTATTATAGGGAGATCCGTGCCCAGCGGTGGAACGTTAAAAAAGGCTGAATACAATACAATAAAAGATTCTAAGCTTTCAATTACACTATCATTATAAATTAAAATTTAAAAAACCCCCTACGCAACAAATACTTTTAATTTCAAATGAAAAAAAACCGCATCGAAATCAGTCTATCCGTTTAAGAGCTACGATGCTACAGACAGACACACATACTAGACAGATATCGACGTCAAACTTATAACACTCCTCTTTTAGCGTCTGGGGTTAATAAAATTGTATGTACATTTTCAAATAAAACCTAACAAAACGACTAAAGTATAATAGAAATCAACAATCTAACATTAGTGATTATATTTTGCACAATTGAGTAACCAAACCAAAGCATTCCTTTTTTTCATGCATAACTCATATGAATAGCAAAAATTTTTACTCACAAACAGTATTATATAGAACACCGTACATGAAACTTTCATTAGTCCATTATGAAGGAAAAATACAATACATGTTATGAAATGTCTGTTTTAAAAATATGAATGATTCAATTGAACAGTATAGTTCTTTTATATGGGCTTATAATTTTTATAATTTATTACTAGTGTATTAACCTCGCTCCGCTTGGGTTCGGTACATTTTAATCGTTAGTATGGATTTTTCAGAGATGAGATATTTTCCCACAGTAAATAGTATCTTATATGTCGACCCAGATCATCATTTCATCACCGGATCATCATTCAAATTTCATCAAAATCTGTCCAGCAGTTTTCTCGTGATGGGTTCCCAGACAGACAAAGAGACAAAAATTCTAAAAACTATTGATCCGGCCTCTGTATCGATAATAATGCCTATTTCAATAGGATTTTAAAAAAAAATTATTTTATGTAGAGATTCTACTCAGAATTTTATTACATGTATAGATATGGTTTATTCCAAAAATGGTATATTAACTTAACTAATATCCATTTCCCTTAGTGTTGAAATGTTAATGGATTAAATAAAGAATTAAGCCACATGTATGGCAAAATCAAGAATAGTACCTGCTTTTCTCGGGGGTGTCTCTATAGATAAATAGTTTGGAAACGCAGGAACCTTCTTCAGGGTAAGCAGATCATCTCACCGAAGTTACAATCATTTTTACTTTTTAGAAGTATTATTATATAAAATCAAATTTTGCTATGGCTTCGTTCGTAGATACAGCTACATATAGTCTACTGTTAGTAATGAAATTTTCCAAAAGGTAGCGCAATTTCACATTTAGTAAAGGTATTAGAGATTAATTAATTTTCTTTCAAAATTATTACAGTACGTGAGTACAATAATGATGGCCTATTAGGTATTGAAGTGGACGTGAAATAAATACTAGAAATAAATATAATCGTTTATTCTTTTATATCTAGAGACTTATCCTCGTTTATTCGAGTGCGTCCCTAAATAAAAGACAAACGTAAAAAGAAAAAAAATTTTTTAGCCAGAAACACTCGCAGGCTTATAGATAGCCCACAACAGCTCACTTAAGTTCCAACACAATCGAATCAATAGTTTAGGAACACATCGAGGACAAACACACGAATGTTCATTTTATTTATATAGAAGATTTCTCCAGAAATCAGCAAATCTGCACTTCGTTTCTTTAAGAAAAAGACTATTTCTTTTTTAAAGCAAAGATACGAATCAAAAAAAAACTTCTAGAACAAAAATTAATATTCCGTGCTTAAATTTCACATCGAGTATTATATACTATTCGTCCTTAAAGAGGACGAATAGTATATAATAGAAAAAAACAATTATTCGTCCTTTATGAAATGTATAAATTATAAAGAAGGACGAATAGACTAATAAAAAAGTAAATAGAATAAGTAGTTCGACTCAGCGCGGTAGGTTAAGGTTTTTTTTTGCATATAGACACTCCTGCACTTAAAAATTACTTATTTTACATTAGAAAACAAAAAAAGTGGTAAATATACGTACAAACTGGCTATATTCGGACGAATAATATCTATAATTTTCTATTCGTCCGATCATCGGAGAATTTTTTTTTATTTTATTATTCGATCTTATTTTAAGTACGAATAGCAAGTCTATAAGATAATCTAATTATTTTATCATAAAACACTTAGTATGGTAAAAATATTATTTATTCTAAATATAAAATAATAATAATATGTATTGTTTTCAGGTCAGAAAAGCCCGCGTATAATGCTGGTAAGTTTTAATAATAATTATTTTATTCATATTTTCATAGTTTCTAAAATAACAGAGTATCTTCAAGTATACTTAATAATATAATACAAAGTTATTGAAAGTGCAAAACGTAAAAATGAAGTACTAAAATGAAACTTAGTGTGGCTTTTGCACATTCAAATTTTCTTTTGTATGTAAATCATACCTGAAAAATTGATAAAGTAATATATTTCTCTCAATGTTTTGGGACAAGAAGAATGAAATAAGTAAAAGAAAATTGTCTGATAGAGATATTAGTGTCATTACTACGGTATATTACTGACTCACCCGACCAAATCAAAATTTATTTGTGATCTTAAAAAAACTTCTGGATCGCGACAACTGCTGACAGCCACCTACCTACCGGCTTTAACTAAAGAAGCCGATTATGCTAAGAGGCATCCAGAAAACCCTATTTAAAAAAAAAACGATTTCAAAAAACACTAAGAAGTATGTAAAAAATAACTGTTTGGTAGTTTTCATTTACTATAGATACCTAATCAGATATTTTCGAAGTCGGTGTGCTTTGATTTGTATCGGCTAGGCAGATTTAGATGAAATTTAGAACACAAATAGACTATAGCAAAACATATAAGTTACTGTTAACCTAACGAGGCACTCGAGAGACCAGGTCATAGTCCACTGCACTGGCCAAGTGCAAGATGGCGGATTTCTCATGATGTTTTCCTTCACCATAAGACAAGTCGTAATCATGTTAGAAATGATTCGCACATGAAAATATCAGAGCTGCGAGACACGGGATTTGAACCCGCTTCGCTAGGTTTTCCAAGCGAGCGCGTTACCACTGGGCTTCCACTGCCTTCGCTAGTATAATATAATATTATTATTCAGTTTTAAAATATTAAAGTGTAGATGCTAAAAACTATTAAAGCAACAAGCAACAAAGTGTTTCATGAACGACCTGGAGACCACTGTGCCTTTTAAAACTTTACCCAGTCTTTAAACTTTTTAGGAGTATACACACTACGGAAGAAAACGCCAACTTTGCAATTTTTTTAATAAGAGAAATAGTTTTTAATTAGCAAAAATGACTGTTTCTACTGCGTCCATCTGGCCATGAATAATTTTATGCAAACTTCAAACATTTTCAATTCAATTTGCTTGTCAATGGCTTCAAAGCGTGCCAGTTGAGGACAGATTACTTCGCCAATATCAGTCACATAGTTTCTTCTAGCTTTTATTTTTGATTGGTGTTTGACTTAACGTGATATTAGGCAGTTTTCAAATTTCGTCATCTTCCAAGTACATAATTAAAATACTACAGGGTGCAAGGTACTGAATATTTCGTGACAAAAATCTAGTAATAACTCGAGCCTGGGTCGAGACTCGAACCCAGGATTACAGTACAGGATCTTTTTAAATAAATCCGCAAATAAATCCGCGACAAAATCCGAAAAGATAGTTTTATTTAAAATGTCAAATATTCGCTTAAATCTAAGAAAGTATTAAGTACACGATCTATATCAACAAGGCAGTATACATTTGTATTCGACTATTAACACGTCCAAAATTCTATCCACTTTATGTGTCTACCAAGATTAATTCGTTCAATGGTTTACTTATTATTTACTTACAAACCCAGACATCCTTACAACTTTCACGCTTATATTTATTTATTTATTTATTTATTTATGTTTAGTGGTCCACAAAACAAATGACAATCACATACATATAAAATAAGAATAGCTTGCAAAATTAATGCACAAGATTGCATTTTTCTAGATGCAGACACATCATGCATATACAACAAAACTTAATATTACAAAAAACAAGATTTAAACTACGGTAACAATGAGGAACGGCTTTTATCTACTAACAATAAAGAAAAATCTTAAAAAAATATATATGAATTACAGCTATTAAACTAAACAATTTGCTTTAATTTTTTACGTAAATAGGCTATAGAGGTATTATTAAAAATATCTAATTTAAAACGAATAGTATCATACGCTGAACACATGCGGAATAAGGGCGAGTGGCTTATTACATTAGTTCTCGCGTTAGGAAGACAAAATGTCTTACGATTTTGTAAACGACTACTAGGACGTGGTATACAAAAGTTCAGTCGTTGTAAAAGATCAGGTGAGTCAATATACCCATGAATTAGCTTGTACAAAAAATTATATCAAGTATTTTCCTACGTGTAGATAGAGAAATAACTTTGTAATGACTTAGTCTTTGTATATAAGAATTTAATTCATGACATTTGTTGTCTGTGTAGGATACGTGATATAAAAATCTTTTTTGGACACATTCTAATCTATTTACGTGAATTTGATAGGATGGGCTCCATGCTGTACTACAGTATTCCAATAAATTTCGAACTAATGTATTAAATATAAGAATAGTGATATTTGGTTGCTTAAATAACTTTAGTTGTCTATTAATAAAACCTGATAATTTTGAAGCTTTTTTTATTATGTTATCAAAATGTTGCCTGAAACTAAGAGAACTATCGAATATAACACCCAGGTCTCGGATACTTTTGACTTCTTGGATAGGTAAATTATTAATATGATATGTAACTGGTTCAGAATTAATTTTTCGCGAAAATTTTAAAAAGAAACACTTCGTGGAATTGAGATACATTTGATTAAAATTACACTAATTGACAATAAAGTTTACATCTGTTTGTAAAATTTCCTTATCAGAATCATCATTCATAACACGATAAACTTTCAAGTCGTCGGCAAAAAATTTAAAATTTGATTTAATATTATTGCATAAATCATTAATAAATATTAAAAATAGCAATGGGCCAAGATGTGACCCTTGGGGAACTCCAGAAGTTACTTCAAACTCTTCTGATTTAAAACCACGAATATATACTAACTGCGAGCGGTTCTTTAAGTAAGACTCAATCCATCTTAACAAACTACCGTGGATACCCATATTCTCAATTTTCTTTAACAATAATTTATGATTCACTAGATCAAATGCTTTTTTGAAATCAGTATATATAGAATGGACTTCTTTCTTTTTATCTAAACCTTCTGCAATATCAGATACATAAGAAACTAAATTAGACGCTGTTGACTTACCGGGTAAAAAGCCATGTTGGTTACAATTTATGTACCGACGTACATGATTCATTATATGTTTATTAACTATTGATTCCAATATTTTTCCACAATTTGATAATAACGAAACAGGACGGTATGCACTCACATCACTCACATCTCCACCCTTATGAATAGGTGATAGATAAGCCTTTTTCCATTCAGAAGGAAATATCCCAGTTTCCAATGACTTATTATAAATTTTACATAATGGCTTATATAAATTATTTGCACATTTTTTTAGAAATGATGAAGGTAAACTATCAGGACCAGGAGATTTATTTATATTTATTGATTGGAGATGTTTTAAAACATCATTTTCATGTACAACTAATTTGCCAAGTGATAAATAATAATGTTGTATAGTATTGAACGTTTGTGTCGGCATAGAATTAGCTTGGTTTAAACTATATATACTTTGGAAATGTTTAGAAAAAAGATTGCATATTTCTTGCCCTCCTATTGCTTTTTCGTTACAGAGCATCATTTCATTAGGGATTGAAGCACAATTACTCTTTCGTTCCTTAAAAAATTTCCAAAAATAGTGTGGATTCCGTCGCAATTGGTTAGGAGCGTTACTATTAAAATTAGAATAACATTCTTTTAATAATAAATCACATCGTTCTTGTAAGATTACATAACTTAAATTGTCCATTTCATTTCCGTAAACTTTATATTTTTTATGATATTTCGCTTTTTCTTTAAGAGCTTTAATAAGTGATAACGAAAACCAAGTAGGAAAGCTCTCATTCATTGGTTTTCTAAGAGGAGTAAACTTATCTATAATTGGTGTTAGAGTTAAATAAAATATTTTAATCATTTCATCGATATGTATACATCCGTCCCAAAGAGCAGACCAATCGATTAATTCTAGAGCTGAATTTACAGATTCATAATCACACTTTGCAAAGTTATATGATAGTATTTTATTATATTTTAGAGTATTATATGATGACGTTTGATAACAAATTTCTAAAGGAGGGTGATGAATTTCTGGAGGTATTATAGGAGTTGAAACTTATATTATAATTAACTAACAAATCTTAATCTTAACTTATATTATAATTAATTAACTAACTAACTATTATAATTAATTAATAACTTATATTATTATTAACTTATATTATTAGTAAGATAACAGAATTTTTGAGATAGTCCGAGATAAAAGCATTCAAATAAGCAAAAAAGAGATATTTTTTTTTATCTATACAGATAAATAAAATTGAAGTGTCTGTTTGCAATGTTAGAATAACAGCGTTTTACTAAATGCATATTAAATTGTATACGGTACTTATAAGAAAAACACAATTTAAAAAAAGCTGTATGTTTGTTCTGGCTAATCTCCGAAACGGCTGGCCCGGATTTGACGGAATTTTCACTGACAGGTAGTTTATCTCATAAGGAGTAACTTAGGCTAGTTTTATTTTTGTAAAAGAATTAGGGTTCCGCTCAAAAAAATGAAAATGTACCTAGGGACGAACCCGAGCGAAGCAAAGATGAGTCCCAGCGAAGCCAAGGTGAGTAAGTGAGATTGGGTCTATAGTTTTCAAATAAAAATAAAACCTGTAGTGCGATAATACACTACAACGGTGTAGTTAAGAAGTTGGCAAACTCCATCTAAGTACATATAAAATGCCACAGTGTGCATCATTATGATACTTTTAAGGTGTTACCGCATTTTCTAAAGTTACGCTACTTTACAATTGAAAGTAATGTGAATTTGAAAGTCGATAAAAGTAGGATTTATGGTAATGTATACATACCATTTGCTCATTTCAACTTTTTTATCATACTAAAAGCTACTAAAGAGTACTATTTAAAGTAAATACACACACTTTGACATGTCCTTGGATTTTTGCTGATTTATCTATTCATGATTTATATATAGAGTAGCGGACTCGA